CCCCAAAACCCCAAAACCCCAAAACCCCAAAACCCCAAAACCCCAAAACCCCTATTTAATCTATAAAAATTGAAAATACCCAAATTCTCAAAAATGGATACAGATCCTAAGCCAGAGGAGACAGCAATAGAGATGTACAACATGTTCTTCTTTATTGGGATTCTCTGAACTACAATAACACTCACCTTGATAACAGTGTATTCCTGAATGAGCTCACTTAGAAAGCACCCTAACAATATTTTATTTCAAATCTTGGTACTGCAATTCTTTATTTCCCTAAAATACTTGGTTACAGGAGCATCATTTAAGATAACGGGAGATGACCTGCATCATACCCCTTACGGATTGATGGACTTCGGATTGCTCAACTATGGCTGCAAAATTGAAGGCTTGATAGCCTACATGCTCTTCTTCATGATAATCCTCTGGAACTTCGTCTTTACCTATGACGTTTACCTCACTGTGAATAAGCCTTTATAATGTACAATGAGAATAATGTCTTCTACTATAAAATATTCGTATATTTTGTAGGAATAATGTTCTCGATCGTAATATTTTTCCCTAACATGGATATTTTTACCGAAAGTAGCATATATGTGTGCTACATTAAGAATGGAGTCGTTTATAACCTCTTTGTAAACTTCCCAATTGTTCTGTACTTCTTGGTTAATGTCTATGTGTCCTGTAAATACACTAGAGAGAAGTTTTACAAAGGATACATGAGGAATAGGCATCGGATAGACCAATACCTCAGCATTCATAGGCTGTACTTTGTGTTCTGGACTCTATTCCAATTCAGTAACTTGGTGTTTGGTTTTGTGACAAACAAGAGCACGACATTGATCACGATCCACAGTATCATAATGGCTCTAACGCCACTAAATATCTGTATTGCTTTCACTAAGGCAGTAATTTACCCAGAAATGATTTGTATTGAAGATGAAGAAGAGAAGATCACTCTCAATACTCAGACATTGTTGGACACAGTAATTATTTCAAACCCACCTCCTGGACTAGAAAGAAAGATTAAGCATAGCAGGAATCCCTCTGGCAACGCTGAGACCATGGAGCAGGTTAAAAAGCATTGGGGAAAAGGAGATAATTTCAAAGAAGTCCTCCGCCGTGAGGTCCTTGAATACATCGTCAAGGGATTAGATGTTGTTTTCAAGAACGAACGTAAAAATAGCTCATCCCTTGGAAATCTTGAAATTGAAGATCCAAACATTCCTAAAGAAAGACCAGGTCTGTTGAGAAGGATAGTTAAGTTTATTTTTGGGAAAGATGATCTTACAAAAGAAAATTATGAAGATGATGGCAACAACTCTGCATTACTAGGCCACCCAGATGTGCTAAAGAAGGTCAGTGTCCTTACACACAGCCAGATTGAGAAGGAAACCCAAGTTGAGCAATGTATTGTTCTCAGGAAAGCCCTAAACAGAATGACAATTCTTCCTTCCAAGACTCAACAAAAGGATGATGAGTATGATTTTATTGAACTTGCACCAGCAATTTTCAGAAATATACGGAAGATTCACAATGTGGATGACTATATGGTCAAGAAAGTCTTCTGAGTCCAGAACCTGAAAGACTTGGACATCAAGATTTCTACTGGGAAAGGTGGGTCATTCTTCATCAAGCCGATCCAAGGTGGAAGAATGTTGCTCAAAAGTATTACCAAAGGAGAGTACGAGATCATACAGAACTTCCTGAGTGATTATTATTGCTACTTATTAATGAATCCAAACACATATCTATGCCCCATCTTGGGAGTGTATAAGCTCAGACTTCAGAAGACCAAGCAGGTTCCTCCAATCACCTTCATTTTGATGAGAAATGTCTTGAACTTAGATCCAAATGACCTCAAGCCTGAAGATAAGGTGTACTGCTTTGACCTGAAGGGAAGCCTTCATGGGAGGAGAACCTTAGAAAACCCCAATGAAATCCTCAACTTTGAAGAGAATTACGAATTTCATAAGGACCTTGTCCTCAAGGATATTGATTTCTTCCAATCATTCAGGAGGCTAGACATCACAACCGACCAAGCCGAGAAGGTAATGTCTCAGATCGAGGAAGACACTAAATTTTTGACAGATTGAAACTTTATGGACTACTCTCTCCTATTATTCATCGTCATAAAGCCTTATGAAGAGATCAAGAGCATGTTGCCTGAAGGTATCAGCCAACAGAATGAGATAAACCGCTTCAAAAGTATAGACTTCCAGTCTCCTAGCCGTAGAAATCAACCAGAGAAGGATAGTGAAGGAGAAAGTGATGAAGAAGAACAAACTAAACCATCTTATTATTCTTCTGATCACAATACTTTGGATGTCACTACAAACAAAAGGAACGATGATCGCATGAAAAGAGCTAAAAAGCACTCTAAAAAGCCTGAAGGTAGAGCTGTTCGTACTGTTGTCCGAACCATTAGTGATTTCGATAGTGCCCCTGTAGAACAGAAAGAGGAACAAATTGAAGAGCAATTTTCAAAAACTGGTCGAAATACCCTCTATATGTCTGAAGGAATTGCTAAACAGAAAACCTCAAAATTTACTAGATACACTCATGCTAACAAAGAGAGTCCAGTTCTGGTCTTAAAGGAGAAGAAGGGGAAGAAACTTAGAGTTTACCTTGTCTCCAATGTGAATGATATTTCGAACATGAAGTCCATCGAGCAAGAGGAAAAGAGAAGAGTCACAATGCTACAGCTCCAACAGAACAAATTCAGTTCAATAGAGGAGGCTAAATCTGAAGAAGAGGAGAACCCTAGTCCTGTTAGTAGAGCGTCTCAGAACTTCGATGAATATTTTAATGAAGATAATCCCTTAATGAATTCAGGTACCAGCGTTCTTAAAAACAGAGTCTCAATTTCAAGACCATCAGCTACCTTCTTTGGAAGAGAATCTGTTGCATCTGTCTCAGGAGGTTTTGGAAGATCATCCATTCTAAATTTTAACACTGACGTAAAGAAAGTTAAGTTCCGTGAGAGGAAGACTAGCTTCAAGTTGAACACTTTCGATCCCTCTGGAAGTAAGAAGGAACAAGGCATAGAGAGCAAGCTCAAGGAAATAGACCAAAGGCTTCTGAAAGAATATCATAAGAACAGGCATGGGTTCAAAGAGAACCAGATCATCGAACTCTCAGACTGTCTTGAAGACAGCGAAGAAGAAAGAGAAGACTCTCTCAATACTCCTTGGAAGAAGATAAGCGACACAGAAGTAATTGAGCAAGTCATTTTCGACCCACAACTCGGCATGGTAAAAAGAGAGATCCACTTTGGGATAATAGACTACATCACAACTTTCACCTTCATGAAGAAGGTTGAGGAGAAGATCAAGAGTCTGATCCAAGACAATCCTTCTGCTGTGAGGCCGAATGTGTATGCACACAGGTTCACCGATTGTGTCAAGAGCGCATTTGAATAAGACTTTTTAAAATCTATTCAGCAATAATCAAGCCATACGGGGTTTTGGGGTTTTGGGGTTTTGGGGTTTTGGGG